AAGTAAGAGAAATTTAGGATAAAAATACGAACATGTTCTTGCATGAGGCCCAATGTGCTTGTTGAGTGAGAAAAGTGTGCCGTCGACGCACCACCAGGAGAGGGGGTCTGTGCAGCGTGGTGGTCGCAGTGAGTGGCGCTGGAGCTGGAGCTGGACAGCCTGGTCGGATGATGGTGCTCGGAGACACTTGTCTGTTGATGATTGGGTTTCCAGCAGCCTAAAACAAGAAAAACRTCAACTTTATTACAAACAAAAATCTGCTGCAAATGAGTAATAAAAACAATTTCATAAAGTCTAATAATAAAACATAAGAAAAAGGCTTAGCATTCCAGAGTTAGTAGCTGGTTTGGTCCAACTTTGAAAATAACATTTTGYACTATATCATGATGTAATAATTAGAGTGAAATATWTTTTTTYCATAGATGAATTAAATTTCAGATACACTCCTGTATTTATACTTTGTAATTGATTCTTTAAATAGTTAGAGAATCAATAAGTCTTTATTTAGTTTAACACACACCTCAAGAAAACATCAATGGCTTTAGTATAACCAGTGTAAGGACATGTAAGCTTGGGGACATTTTGCAGGAGCTCCATAACAGGGAGGGTCTYTGAGTGAATGTTACACTTTATGTTTGCAAATAAATATTCATGTCTAAGAAGTGGATCGRTTTCCTGTGCATAATTTGGCCTTTCAAAATGAACACGTTACTAACATGTGTTGTAAATGTCTCTCAGCTATGGCCACAATAAAATTTTAGCAGAATAGCTAAAAGTTGACTGATTTAGCCATTTGTGTGTTGAATAACAGGGCTAGGTAAAAAAAATTGATAGGATCGATTTCATTTAAATTTGGAAAAATTGATTCACAGGGCATGAGATCAATTGTGCACGTCTGAAACACGTTTCTATATTTTGTCACTCCTGGCTTGCCGTATATTTACATCCGTTTGATGTTCAGTGCAAACATTAGCTTTCGATAACAAACTGTCTGGAGCAAAACAAAAGAAACTAAGGAATTACTAACATTATCAGCCGATTCTCAGCAGAACTTAAAGATAACAGAGACCATGGTGACTTTTGTTTACAAAGATTTGCACTCTTACGTGGTAGTAAAAATGAAGCAAGCTGTGACGAGTGACTCGTTGGGCTGAAACCGTTCTCACAGCATGTATAAATATGTGAAAGACGACATTCTAACAAAATAGTTTAGTTTTGTTACCAATATTACTATTTTTAAACTTTAAGAAACATCTTAATGAAATTCACAGTGACGAAATGTTGTAGTTGTATTATTTGTTTTAATAATGTATAAGTAATATAATTTTTAAAAAACTATATTGAACATAACAGAAGCAGAAACATTTCAAATGTACAATTTGCATTCACTCAAAAGGAGTGAGCAGAAGTATATTTATATTAGCACAACTCTTCTCCTGCAACCTTATTCCATCACTTCTTATGTATGAAGAAAATTCTTAATTTCCAAAGAATGAACTCCTCCAACAACACTGTCACCTGCAATTCCTTTTTAATTTAAAACTTTTAAACTTGTGACAGTTTTCCTTCAAGATTAAACTGTTTAATATAAAAGTTTGTCCTTTTGGTGAAGAGAATAAATAGTGATTGTTATGATAGTTGTCTGTATTAATGTTTTATTTTAGTTTCTGTCTTGTCATCTGTTGTCTTCCTCCTGTTTGCCTTTGCTCCAGCCCCGCCCACTCTCACCTGCTCCTCATGTTTCTCTCCCAGGTGTTCCCTGTTTGTGCTCGTTAGTCTCACCTTTATATTCTGTGTCTTGTCTTCACTTCCCTGTCTGATCATTGTGCTGTTCACAGGCCTGTATGTTTGTTGCCTTGTTAGATTCAAAGTACATTTGTTTTTATTGTTGTTAATATATGATTTAAAACATTTTTCTTCCTGAAACAGCTTCCGAGAGTGTGAATGCATTACGACCGCATCAAACTTACAGGAAGACACGCAGACAGACAGCAGATTCAGCATGGTAAACTGTGGCTAACAAGGAGATAAAAGCTTCGGTCTTTAGCGAGGGTGAACGGCTGCTTGTCATCATTTCCATCATTAAAGTGCTTGAGATCTGCGTCCTCTCTGGCAATTTTATTGGATTTGTCATAAGCCTCAGGAATGATTTAAGTCCCGACGAGTTCTTGAACACTAGCTTGTTGTTGTTAGCATTTTAGCAGACAAACTCTGTGCTGCATTCAGGATTTAAGGGACATTATATGTTCTCAAATTGTAGTAGTTGTTCCGATGTATATAATTATAAAGTTTGTGTAACATACAGGGTTAATTGGTAAAATAATATGAATAATTCTTAAAATGACTGGTTGTTTTTCAGCACGGAGTATTCTAATTATTGTTCTAGTGAGAAAGTTGTTTTTTCTGACGCAACTTGAACGTTGCTCGGGTCGTGTTGGACGGGAAGCGGCTTGAACAAAATGGATAAAAATAAAGCGGCGCTGGCAAACATGTACATATATTATCGGTTCTGTCTGTTATATCAGACCGATAAGTATGACGTCATAATTCCCTGATATCGGGCCGATAACTATCGTGCACCCCTACAATTTTTGCCATAAAACTGCGACAATGAGCGCCAATTTTGGCAGTTTGGAGGCCTTTAAATTTTGCAATCCGAAAGGCGGTAGTTGTGTTATTATTCGTTATTATTGCTCTGAAAGATGTCTGTTACCAAAATATCTCTTCAATGGATTTTAGATGGATGGATTTTAATAAAAATGTATTCAWTAGTTGTATGCTACAGCTAAATAATACAAATTAGCCACTATAGCTAATTAACATTATTTCATAGGGCTGGGTATTGTGGCCAATTCTTTAGATCGATTCGATTTCGATTCATAAGGTCTTGAATTGATTAATCACGATTCAATTTGATTTGATTCGATCTGATCTGCTCTTAAATAATGAAAATGGTTCAACTGTGTTGCAAAATACAATATCACTGTTACGATTTTCAGGCAGGAATGAACCCATAGCGCAGGCAAAAATCCAAAAAGGCAAAAAGGTGATTTATTTAACAAAGAAGGCTGGCAGGGCAGCTCAAAAACTAACTTGTGTGCATTATCTGTTTTGAACTTGTGGAATGACTTTTTCTCTTTGGTTTAAATCTGAGATCAGTGTTAAAGGTCTTTTTTATAATTAATGTGCCTTATTTTAAAAGATGGCCATTTGAGAAATTGATTTGTTTGATATATTTTAAAAAAATGTTTGTTTGCTAAGAGTTTATTTCAAATAGTATAATTTACAGTGTCATTTGGTTTTGGTGTTGTTTATTTATGTTATGATCTTACCCATTTTTGACTAGTCTTATCTCTTGGCATGTTATTGGTTATTATCGGTTATTGGCCATTAGAAGGAGAAAGTTATCGTATCCGTTCTTAAAATAAGTTATCCTGCATCCCTAGAAAATTGCATCATTTTGTTTGAAGCTTCATGTTTTCCACTCCATCTTGTCACAACTTGCCTCGAGAACTTTTACCCCCATGTGCATAAAAAATTATTATATGATTGGTCAGAATTTGGCCAGGAGCACACAGGAAGGTGTGTGAGAAAAACAAACAAACAAAAGAAAAAAAACAACCACATAATGCTCATCGACTGTWCGGCTTCACTCCACAGGTGTGCGTCCCTTGAAGAGCACGTAGGTTGGACACTTTCACCAACATGTCCTTGAGAGCTTACCTGACCGGTGGGCACATTCGTTGGCGTAGTTGTCCGAGGGGCCATGCCACCCTGGGCCTGTGCTTGCATTTGGGCCAGAGCCTGCTGAGAAAACAYCAACAGCTGTCCGCTCTCACTGCGCACGACCACCATCCCTGAAGCAAAGCAGGAGGTAAAAAAAAAMAAACAACTGTTTCAGTAACATGGCATGATMTGTAAACAATAACAAGCCCTTGAAGGTACTCTTTGGAAACTACAAAATCAAAGAATTATATCAACTGATGCAGTTTGAAAGACTTTACTTCAGTAGTTTTCCTGATATGTTGACATGCAATTCTGAAATGTGGGAATGCACTCAATGTAAACAAAGCTGAGTCTACTGAAAACATTGCTGAAACTTGAATCATGTGATGGACCTATATGACCTATAGTAAACAAACATGGTGGAATGTGTCAAGAGCAGAGATGAGAAGAGGTTYAGGGAGAAACAGAGTGAATCTGCTGCTTAACATGAAGAGAAAGATCRAGTAAGACAGCGATCAAATCTGATCTGCACACTTTCCTAAACAAACCTAAGTACAAATATGCAGTAATACAACAAAACTGTCCGACTTCACCATCCTGAACGACTCTTCTAATTATATCATCATTATTAAGCTGTTTTTAAGTCACTTTTCTGTACAGGTCAGGGGTCCTCTGCATGTTTTAAAGGCTTCTGTGAAAAACAAACCTGGTGAACRGATGGATGATTAACAGGTCAGGACTGGACAGCCCTGCTGCAGGTAAACCAATGTATGTTGTAGCTGGAATCCRGTAACAAATTTCACAATTTTTTTAATGTAAGGACACATGTATGTGAGGGGAAATGTGCAGATTGTGCTTTGACTTTTTTTGACTGGTTTTCATGACATTACAACATTAGCAATACACAAGAGATGCCATCAAAACCATTCAGTCACTGTCAGAGTGCTGATCTCTGCTGCATTMAAACATTACATCACTTGATTGTTGTGTTTTATTCTTGCAAAAGTGAAAACAAATGTTTTTTTTAATGCCTAAAGCCCCTTCTGTGTACACTTACCCGGGGGGATCTGAATGTTCTGCACACTGGGCTGTCCCGGGGACGGCTGGGGGAGTCTCGGGGTCAGCATCGGCGGCATGGCTCCTCCGGCGTTCACAGGTGCCATCACGGGGGGTCGCGGAGCGCTGATGGTGCCGGTGGGCTGCGGTGCTGACTGGATGATGGTGGTGGGCGGCTCTGCCTTGATCGTGTGCGGACCTGCGCTGACAGAGGCGGGCTGGCAGTTGTTCACCAGCGGACTCGGAGCTCCCACCGCGGGGCTCGCGGCGTTGTTCCCGTTCAAAGTCGCACCCGGCCCGGCTGCTTGCATAGGCGGCCGGACAAGTGTCACGGTGGGTCCCGGTGACGGCCGGCTCACCGCAGCGGCACCCTCCGAGCTCGTGAGCGGCGTCTGGATCACGCTGTTCGACGAGGCGGGCAGCGCTTTGGACAGCACCGTGCCGCCGCTGACAGCCGGGGATGATATGACGGTGCCGCCGACCACCGCCGTCGTCCCCTCCGCGGGGGCAGCGCTCCCTGAACTGTGAGAGTTCATAGTTTGGCTCCCATTAAAAGTCTGCGCTGAGTGTGAGCCTACTTTCCCCGGGTGGTTAGGGACAAAAGTTACACCGTCACTGACGAGTGCTTTGGCCGGGTCGCGTCCGCTTATGGAGTCGGTGCTGGCGTCCGATGCGTCCATAGCTGAACCATGGGGGGGCTCGTTAAGTCAGCCGAGACCCCCTGCGCTTCAACTAGTAGTTTCACAGTCGAGCTTAAATGTGATGAAGGGGCAAGAATATGACACAACTAATGATCCCCCCCTGTCAACTCCGGCGTTTGTTTTTTGTATGTACTCGAAGAGATAAAAAAAAAAGAAAACAACGTGAGTTACAGCGTACCTGCTTTTAGCAACCGTCTTGACCAAGCAAGTCCCAGCTGGACATTAGCTCGAGCTACCCCCCGCTTGTCCCGGAACTATAACCATGTAACTACTTTCTGCCTCGCGCCTACCCCAATGGTTGTTGTGACACAAGAGCGACAGCGGTGACTCTACAGACCGTGCAGGATGACAAACTACCGCTTTATTCACCGCTGTCTGTAAAGAGAGCTCATCCAGCGGACCGCGGCCAACCGCCATCTTCACACTCCTGCGAGCTTCTGAAAAGTCGGGCACTCGCTCGCTGACGTGCGCATGCGCAGAGCAGCGAAACGTCCCCGGCCGGGGAATTCTGCGAGCCGTGATTGGCTGCTCCGCATGCTAAAAGGCGGAACCAATGGCTTCAGCTGTCATTCCTGGGGAGAAACAAGAGCGTCGAGCATCGTACCGAGCCGAAGAGTTTTCGTCAAATCTTTTATCGTAGCCTGGATGTTTTTTCTTGAGCTACACCTCCTTCGTTGCAGAATTCGACCTTTTAACGTTTGGTATAATGATAGTAGGGTTTTCTGTAAGTTTACAAGCTAAATTCGCGGATTGTTTCACAGTCGATGCGCTCGGCAAGATGGCTGCAGAGAAGTGAGGTTACGCTGTTTAGTGACGCCCCACCCTTATTAGACGGGAAATGGACCGTTCTGTCAGTCATGGCATTATTGTGGCACTAAAACATTCTCCTGTTCACTTACACAAATGCACCAGGAAACTAATCTTTCTTTCTGTCTTTAATTTGATATATTTTGAGATCCTAATTAGAGGAATATGTTCTACTCAACTTGTGTGTGCTGCAAATTTTATTTTTGTTTTTGCATTATTGACTAGTCTACATCTCACCAACAGTTATGAACATAAATAACAAAAAGTAACTCAAATCAAGCTTTGTCATAGAGTCAACCTTGCAATTTCAAATTTTACTGTGAATATATCTTATTTTTTCAATTACAATAAAAAATAGAGAGTTGTATTCGCTTTTTTCTAGGGCTGTCAAGTGATTAAAAATTTAAATCTATTAATTCCAAGGTAGCTGTGAATTAATCATGATTAATCTTAAACTTAATATAAAACTTTAAATTGTTTAATATTTATTTATTAAATAAATAAGCCATAAAAAGACAAAAAGAAAAAAACTGAACATACTGTATTGCACATGGAGTTTTTTTTAATATATTATTTATGTAACCTTTATTTATCCACGTAAACTGTTTGAGAACCACTTCTCATTTACAAACCTGACATGCACTGAGTGCATTGCAATATACAAACCTACATATTCTGCCATAGTAAAGTGATTGTAAATTTTAATCGCGATCAAAAATTGTAATCTATGCCCATGCAGCACTAAAATTAATCAGAGTTAACTCGATTGATTAGCACTACTTTTTTTTTTTCGTTTTTGTCTGTATAGTGGTATTTTTTAGCCAATTTTGTTTGAAAAGGCTGCGATAGAGTCAGCAATATTTAAAAAAATATATTGCGTAGTCAAGATGGCAGTGAAAACAAGAAATCTCACACTGTCAAGTCTTTCGGTGCACGCCGAYACACAAATCAAACGCACCCCGGTTTAATCACAGCTGATGCAGTCAGCTGTGCAGAGGTGCTCAGCGCACAATCCTATAAAGCTCACAGGTGCGCCAATTACTCCCGCTTTGGTTCAAGTTTGGCTGCTGAGACTTSTGCTGCGTCGTTGCTGATTCCCGGTGCGAAACATTTGTGTTTAATGCGARCATGAGTGCTGCGGGGGGGACCCCGTATATTGGCAGTAAAATAAGYCTGATCTCCATGGCTCAGATCAGGTATGAAGGAATCCTGTCTTATGTGGACACCGAGAGATCTACTGTTGCTTTAGCTAAAGGTATGTCACCACTGTGCAGCCTGGATTGATTTTACTTTCATTGTTCAGCAGCTTGATGCTTGATTTTCTGAATTTACTTAATGGCTTTGCTGATTTGTCTCCCCCACCCACAGTAACCTCTTATGGTACAGAGGACCGGCACACTGACAGACCAGTGCCGCCCAAAGATGAAATCTATGAATATATTATCTTCAGAGGAAGTGACATTAAAGATATTACGGTGTCTGAACCTCCCAAACCCCACCATGGACTGCCTCGTGACCCTGCAATTGTTCAGGTTTGAGCTCTAGTTTCTTTACATTCCAAATGCATCACTAGTTTGATAAAATGAAGTTTGAATTTTTGTGATTTCAGTCCTCCATGGGCTCCTCTGTGCCATACAACCCACGCTGGAGTACCTACAGAGACCTGATGCCCACATTTAACCAGCTTGCTGCCAGTTCTCTACTCAGCCAGCAGTACAACACAGCACTGGGTCTTGGTACAGATCTCCCACACATGCCCGTTTATGTAGCTGATGATTATCGTTTTTAATTTTTAATTTGTTTTTACCCCTTATCTTAGTGCCAGGGCTTCATGGTCCAACCATAAGAGCCCCCATGGTGGAGCAGGCTGTCCAGACCGTGCCTTTGGTCACAGCTGCACAGAAGAAAGGAAAGCCTTTGACCCAGCCACAGAGCAGGCAGCCTACTCGCCCGTCACAGSGCTCTGCTCCGGAAGCYTCTCCAGCTGAGAAAGAAAACATACMSACGAGTAAACAGACGAAGATTACTGAAATAAAATTCACCTCATTTATTGGCAACAATTTGAAAACCATAAATGCACTGCAACAGTCAAATTTACATTTTACATTTAATCTGGTTTCCTTTTGTTCATATAAAACATGTGTTTAGGTCGGGCACCATCTCAGCCAGCTGTTGCAAAGATCCAAGGCAGAGGTGCGGACAACCAGAAAATGAGACAAAAACAAGGTTAAAAAGTCACATTTGATCTTGCTTGATGAATAGTGTCGTCTCATTCCCACCGGTCATTCTCAGAATGTACCACAGTAACTTTGCTCATTATGATGAATGTATTTGAAAATGAAATGTCCGACTGGATGAAGCCGTTTGCGCCTCTGCTGACCCAGCTGTRCATTCCGTTTTGCTGCTTTGCAGGAAACCGCAGGTCCAGGACCAGAAGCCGAGGCCARCTTCTTGCAAAAACCTCCAAGGCAACAACTTTAGAGTTTGATTCAGATTTTGACTTTGAAACGGCGAATGCTCAGTTTAAAGATGACCTGACAAAAGAGGCTGAAGGTATTTATCAGTTTTTTAAAAATGTATGATCACACATGGAGATCAAACTTGTTGTTTTTAAATGTGCTGCAGGTGAAAAAAACACTGAAGTCGACAATGGTGCGCAAGAGGAGGAGACGCTGATGGAGAAGTACTACGACAAAGCTAAATGCTTCTTTGACAACATCTCTTCAGATCTGAAGCCCAGGTGATTTTTATGTTCCTTTTTTTGTCAGTTGTGTTTTTAGTTTGGTGCATATTTAAAATGCAATTAATACTTTTAGGAGAACCACCTGGGCAGAAGAGAAAAAGTTGAACATTGAAACATTTGGCGTGCCTGGTCGCTTCCTGAGAGGCAGAGGATTTCGAGGCCGTGGACGTAGAACCACCGAGCAAAGAGCACTTCCAAAGATTGGTAGTGGGAGAGTTTGAGTCTTTTTTTTTTTTTTTTGGTAAATGCCAATGTAAATATTTTTTCCTACTAATTTAAATTATCTCCCTCATTGTGACTTTTTTTTAAAATCCCAATTAAACTTTGAATTGATATAAAATGGGAGAGTATATTTCATTTTAATCAGCAGCTGTGCATTTAAAGCAGATGTTTTCATTGATACTTGGTCTGGAAGCCTGCACTATAGAAGGTCTAACAGAACATTAATGCTTTTGTTTCTGTGAATATGTGAACATGTCTGCTTGACTGAAGTTTAACTCCAAAATGCTCCTGGAAAATTATCTTTAAAAATCCAGAGGTCGTGTTATGTTTTTTCCTCCTTAATTGTAAAATTTAAAATAAGAAAATAAAAGTATACAGTTGCTATTAAATGGCATGCTGCCGTCAAAGAAGACTCTTGTGATGGTTTTGTTGTGCTTCACAAATAAAAGCCAGTAAATTTCTGAAACTTGGGCCCAARTTTTCCAGCAGCTTCTGAAACGACTCTTGATCGTCTTCAGGAAAAGTGACATCCAGACTGTAGAGGTCGTTGGCATCTCCTTCTGCTGAATACAAATGGGACTCGTCGGGCATCTCTGTTACTGTGTCATCGAGACATAAAAGCTTCTGTGGGGGGATATCAAAATAAAAACATTTTATACATATCCAGAGTAACCTCCAGATTTTAATGGTGAGAAAAACAATATCACTARTAGCTTAATGAAGCGTGTCCTCTAAAATTATAAACTTTGCACATAAGAGCCAAAAAGTGGATTTTGCTATTGACACTTGTTTTGAGCTTCATGTGCCTGGAATAAAATATTGCTAAACGTTGTTGCAGCAAAAAATACCAGACACACTAACTGTGCTACATGTATAAAATTCTGCACATCCTGATATAAGATCATACGTTAAGACGTTTTTCTTCAGAAGAACTAGATTTTGTTTTATTTGTAATTCAAACATTTTTCACACTTTTGCTCAAAAACATATGTATTTTGACATTCTGCTAACCCTAAATGGCAAGGGGAAATTGGACACACACCAAGCCAAAGCTTGGGACTAACAGATAAAACTGTGGTTAAGGGGGGCTGTTGCACTCTTGTACCTACAGTAYGCTTTTTTTGTGTTGAGCAATGTGTGAAACACTAACCTGTTGAACTAGAGCTGTCAGAGCATTTGTGTTAACAGAATTTCCGCAGTAAAGGACATTTGTTTCCATGTCGTCAGACTGTAGGAAAAGTGAGTTTTATCAGTTTGTGACACAAAATAAGCAATGTCAACAACTCTGTATAGAATGTCCTATAATCCAACTCAAAGACACAAAGATTAAATAAAACTAACCTGTAAATATTCACAAGTGATGCGCTGTTTTTTGATGTATATATTACCTTACTACTATTACTGCTACTACTTGTCATGTGAGAGGCATTCCTCCTGAAGTGCTCTGAGTTGCTCCACCTCTGCTGTAGGCCCTGTGACAGAGATAACAGGTGTTGACTTTGTAAAYTTCATATTAGGCAACTAGTACCCCAGCTATGGTTTAACTTGGTTTGCTAAAAAAAATTGTGATTGTTTTCATTTGATGTACAGAGATTCCTTTGTGAATGTTTGATAGTTTTCTCTTGTACCCACCRTTGACTCAAATTGGTTCTGCATGATCAATGAGTCATGACTGTGGAGACTTTGACTTTGGRAAACAACTGGGCCACCATCTGGTACCTTTACAAGAAAAAGAAATGGTTAGTGGTTTTCACCCTGGAATAAGTCTCATGCAAATATTTTTTTCAATGTAATCTTGCTTCACTTCATTGTTTTTCATGTACAGAGATTAACTTGTGAATGGTTTCCAGTTTTCTTGTACCTACCATTAAGTTATATTGATTTTCTTTCATCAGTGAGTCAAGATCATCAAGCTTTTGGCTGTTGGACAAAAATGCCACAGTATCTTCTACCTTTACAAGAAAAAGAAATGGTCAGTGATATTCCCACTGAAATATGTCTCATATGTAAATGTTTCTTAGATGCAACCTTGCAGTCTGTTCCTTGTTTCTCATCGTTGTACACCCGGATACTTTTTTCTCCCTCTTCGTATGGAAATGATATGAACTTTTTTTCTTTGCAGGGCATGACTGATGCATTTTTGCATTTGACAAATGCCACCAACAGCAGATCTGTCAAAATATATGCAACAAAACTTGTACACATGTACATGGTTTGCTCTATAAGGAACTGTGCTTCCATTCCTTACCCAATAGTAAAACCAGTACAAGGAGCGCGATGACAACAGCAACCCCCAAAAATGTCAGACTGGTTYGAGCATGGCAGTTGCGTGATACCAAGCATGTGCACACAGTCACATTAAGTCTGTGAACACTAAACACTCCCTGCAGGTCTGAAATCTTCAGATCAATTGTGTAAAAGCCAGCCCCAATACTAGGCTCCTTCACCAAACCAGCTGTGAAACCTAAAACAACAAAACAGGATTGTCATTTGGGGTTGTTTTGTGTTGACATTTCTCTACATTCATGGCTGTTTCTACCGTATGAAGGATTCAGCTTCCATTGTTCCTTAGCACTCCCCAGCAGTTCAAACTTGAAAGGCCCTCCGTAAGGATCTCCATCAGCATCAGAGGCTGAGATGTTTGTGGTGGTGGGGCTGTCGGACAAGCAGACATCCACAAAGCCCACCTCTAGCTGTGGCGAGTTGTCGTTCACGTCCACTACATGGATGTTCAGTGTAGCTGTGCCTGTCATAGGTGGCTTACCTGTTCAGGAATTTTAAAAGCAGTTTCATGAAGCATTTCATTTATTTACAGCAAAAATACCAGTGTTAATTTAACACCCACAGTGTTAACTTTAACACAACAAAGTGTCTATATGTGTCCACACTTGCTGGTGTTAAACATTTGTGAAAATGTTAATTTTTAACACCCATTTTTTGTTAATTTAACACCAACCAGTGTTTAGCATTCAACAAAATTAGGTGTCACATTACATTTCAACAATGTTAAAATAGAGTGTTAAAAGCAACACTAGTGTATTATTATTAACAAAGGGAATTGTGTTGTTAGAAAGATTAACAGATGCTACAAGGTGTCAATGCACCATCAAATTGAGAGTGTAAATTTAACACTCAGAATTAATATCAAACTCTTTGTAGTGTTGCATTAACACTACTCAGCAGTTTGTAGAAAAATGGAGTMACCCTTCACACACCAGGAAGTACCTCTCAATGGTGTCAATTTATGGCCAATAACACAGACTTTAACTTGAACAACTTGATCAAACTGAACAAGAAAACTAACCAGAACAACTAATTTTTACTCTCATCAACTTCTTTAATAGTCATAAACATGCAAACACACATTTCTACAAGATTACCCAGCATTCCTTGCTGAGAAAATACTGGTCTGTCTGACATGAGGTGGAAGAGGGCGGGGCTTTTCAGAATACTTCTTAAAACACTGCATGGTGTGAAATAACAACACCGTTAAGTGTTATATAAGATTTAACAGTGGGAGGAGCTTATTTAACACTGTCCAGTGTTGATACAACACTGAGGAAATCAACACTGTGAATTAACATTTACAATGTGTGTCAGTTTACTCAGAAAGTAACACTGGTGGCTGTTAAAACCAAACCCAAAAGTTTAACACTGAAATTTTAACATTCATGTTTTTGCTGTGCTACAATATTTGTTAGACGGTGTGTTTACCATTATCCACTGCATACACTGATACAGTGTATATGCCTTTAACAACATGAGAAGATTCTCTGTCAGGTTTCTGTACGGTGGTGATGTCGCCGGTGTTGGGATCAATCTTCAACCAGCCTGCAGTATCATTTGCTATTTTGTAACTGTGGACAAATATAAACACACTTTAGCAAATAGAGGTCCAGATGTGTGCTTAAACACATGTTTGAAAGTATATTTACATAATGTCTTTTCCTGAACCGGAGTCCGGGTCCACAGCTGTCACTTTCTTCACCCATGTTCCAATCGGTGCATTCTCCTCCAGCATAGTATCTTTGATGGTCAGCTTAAACACTGGGGCATGATTAATGCTTTCTATTTTGATAATGACTTTTGTTAAATTGGTCTGACCTCCATTACTTGGAAGTTCTCCATTTTTACTGGTTTCAACTTTCCAAAGACCCTGTGTCGTCTTCTGCTTCACTTTACAGAAGAAATATGGCACTTCGTTTTCAGCAAAAATCAATAGCTCTTTGGTTGCGTTTTCATCATGGTTCAGTGGCTAAAATCAAAGCAGTTTCTACATTAGTGTGTGAAAAAATACAGTGTAAAAATACACTGCAGTCTGAGAGCAAGCTAGACAGAAACAAGTATGTGATGTAATTGTTGGAGTAAATGTACAGAAGTTGTGACAGGAATGTATAAAAAGCAGCCAACACACTCCYCTCACCTTTACCACAGTCAGGATACCATCATTGGTTTCTGGATCTGTCTCTATCTTGAAGTTCCCACCTTCATCATTAGATATGCTGTATCTGACTCTCCATGCCATGCTGTAGATGCGGTCTTTGTCCGTCACATGGACCCTCAAAGGAGAAGTCCCCGACTCATTTTCATTGACTTTGCCAGAACCCTGTTGTTTAAATACAAGGAACGAGGTTAATAAAAAATACCTTTGTTTTACCTTGGAGCAAAGGAAAGAACAAAGCAAAAACTAACTGTTAATATGTGATATAAATTGAAACAGCAAGAACACTCCTTGAGATCCTGGAACTTTTGCGTAAGGCATCCAAGCCCACCAAACTTGGAACTTCTGATTTTGACCCAGTGGAGCTGAAGTTAAAACTTTGTGAAAAGTTAAACCAAACTTTTGCTTTTTAATACCTTCAACTCACTGTAAGACAAGAATGTAATTGTACGATGTTATAGTATCTGATACTTGTGTCAAACATCAAGAACACCAAGTTACCTCAGATTTGTCATAACAAAAACATTTGGAATAYAGCTGGTTTGAAACATCACAATTACCTCCAGGGTTCTCGGAGTTCCTCTGTGCTTCACACCAGAGTGGGCGAAGCAGGGCAGACACTGTATAAATTGGGGTGCAAACAAATGGTGGCAAACTGTGCAGCGGAACTGCGTGTATTGTAAATTAGGGTGAGGATTTAGTCCTCATTTCAACTATGTTTTGTATCTAGTGTTTTGGAACCATTTGTCATTAAATGGCAACCACCTGGCATGCTACTTTCTCCCATTCGCTGGAGACGTGCAGAACTAGCAAGACACAGTGACACCCTCAAAGTGGATCTGATACATCGCTATGCCAGAGGACRCCTTCGGTCCAGCAGTTGGTGTTTTTATCATTAAAGGCAAAATGATCACTCGTAATTTTGTGCATTTTACATGAAAATATCAAACTTGAGGTTTTTTTTATCAAATAGAATTATTTTGTTAATTATTTCACAGTTTCRTTCTACATTGCATCCATGATGTTATGTTGAATGTCAATAAAATCAATCTGATTCTGAAATTTTATTACAAAACTGTGCAGTTAGAATTTCAAGCACTTTCAAGGACTTTATACAGAAATAAAGCACTTTCCACAATTTGAAACCACCTTGTTTAAATTCAAGCATTTTAGCATTTTTAAGGATTTCAAGCACACATACAGTAGGCTACGAATCCTCTACCTAACATATTCACAATAATAGCAAAAGTTAAGAAGCCGTCACCAAACAGCATTATACTATTTCATGCAAGCTACATTATGCTAACACTCTGCATTATATGAGCAGTGCATTTATGTGTTGCTTTTCATTGTCTTTCTAATTTGTGTCATCTTATTCACCCAATAACGTATTGAAGCATTGTTTGGCTGACACATTGTGAGCACTTTAGTGAGGAAGAGTAGGTAAAAATGAGTCCAGATGTGTCACATTTATCCGGCTCTGATGAAAAATGTGGTTGAGGGTTGTTTAAGCAAACTATCTGCATACCGTTTGACCGCTGATGACTGGAAGGTGGTTGTTGCCGTCCTGAATATGAATGAGAACTGTGGTTGAGCTAGACAAGCTGACTTTGTCACCATGGTCTATGGCCTCCACCAAAACTKTAAGCTTGTCACCTGCCTTGATACAAGAAAAAAACATGGTATGGATTAGATTCATTGTTCTTATATCTTGATTTTCCCTCAGTTAAAATTTTATCGGAAGACTGACCTGGTCCAGCCATGGTCGGCCTGGCCTTATTCTACCCCGGCCCTGGTTGTGTTTGCATTTAGTAAAGTGCTACCTCGATATGGATGGGGATCATAATACTAAAAACGCACAAATCTTATTTAGTTTTATTTGTGACACAACAATGGAATACATCAAATTCAAAGGAAAAATGCAGAAGACTGTACTGGACCATCCAGCAGACAAAGAACGGTACGATAATGATAGCTAATGTTAGCTTGTCGTTTCTTGGTAGCTTGCTACAGTTATTGCATAAGTTGAAGTTGTGTTAGAAAATGTTACAGACGTTGCAATGATTCATGTAAAATTGATTGCATATATGTGATGTAAGACCGCCAGCCAGTGAACCAATCAATAGGCAACAGTAGATGAAGTCAAATCAGACCAATGAGGTCAGCCACAATGGAACCACAGCTATCAGCGTTCCAGAAATCGGGGTGGAACTAAGGGGTAATGCAAACACATTAAACCCGGGTTTGAACCTAGACCAGGCTAGGTTGAGTCGGACCGTGCAGTGCATAAAGGACTCCTCCTAAAATTATACATTACAATGTTTTGTCCCAAAGTCACCCTGTAGGGTTCTATTTTAAGCATTTTATGCATTTGACAATACTCAGCAAACACACACTCTACTCACTTGCATATATATATATACCACAAAACTATAAATTATTTTGTCAGTTGCAGATCCAGCTGAAAAAGAAATACAACTTGCACAACACTATTTCTAAGAAGGCACTTCTGACACATTGACAAATTAACCTCTTGCCTCATAATCCAAGCATCCTTTAAAGGAGATCAGTCCATGTTCGTTAACAAAGAACTCTGTGTTTGGAGAGTTRGGGAACACAGATTTGATGCTGTAGTGGAAAGTAGAGTTTAATGTTTGGCTCTTGTCTTTATCATGAGCCCGCACRGTCAGGAGAGGTGAACCTGTTGTCAAAAGATTTGAAAAAAGACACGATCAGGCTCTATAAACAACGTTTTGACATACTTTTTAAAAGAAAAGGCTCATTTGTTTGGCCTTTTACCTTGTGGGAGATCCTCGTTAACAGTGATTTCATACACATCTCTCTCAAAAACTGGGGGGTTGTCGTTGACGTCTCGTATTTGGATCTCGACTCCTAATCGAATGTCGATTGTGAATTCGTTTTGTCTGGCTTCAAAACTTAGCTATAAATTTTAACAAATGCAGTTAGTGACGATATAACACTATTGTTTTGATAATTTGTTAAATCTTTTTTTGTTTTGTGTTGTGCTGTTTTGCAAAAAAAGTGACTTGTTAAATGTATTTAGACATTCAGAAACATTAGGTTGGATGTTTTCATAACAAAACACAGGTTACAATATATTTTTCTTGTAAATTTAGCATCGATAACAATTGTACATTGCGAAAGTCAGTCAAGCATGCTGATACTTGTGTTGAATCAAACCTTGAGCGTCTTGGTCAGCTCATAATCCACAGGCTTGTGGACGTAAATCACCCCCGTCTTCTTATCAAAGGAAAGGACGCCTTCCGGTTCTTCATCCACTCCTTCGCCGAACAGATCAAAGTAGACCAAATATTGGCGTTCAAGCTCTATCTACAAAACAAATCAAAATATTTCAGTCCATCTTTGATGAGCCTGAGAATCTAATTAATGACTTTTTTTTCTGTTTCGAAACAGGCATTTTATTTTCAAATCAATTCAGTGTATTTATGTAGCATCAAGTCAAAACAAACTTTGTCCCAGGGCACTGCGCAAAAAACAATCAATTTAAAAAAGTCAACAGATTGTGTTGAATCACTTCATAACGGTCTCCCATCCTGAGCAGAACATTGCGACAATGGAAAAAAAACAGGAAGAAATTTCCAGCTAAACCAAGCTCAGGACGGGYGGCTATCTGCCTCGACTGGCTGGGTTTTGGAGGCCAGGAAAGAGACAAAAAGAAACACAGAAGGACTTGTCCAGGTGTATTTTCCTCTGGAAGAGAGACAAAGATAGGAATAATTACAACAACAGATGTAGAGATGAGTGACTAAAGACAGCAGTAGAATGAAAAAAATGTGGTCAGCCTGTCATCCAGTAGTCTAAAGGCTTGGTTATAGTCGTGCTTTGGGTTGTCACGTAAGCTCCGCGGTGTGTGCACGCTCCTGAGCTGCGCGCTGTATTAAAACATACTTGATGTTCACGTTAGCACTGTTCTTCCCTCACTGACAGTAGTTTGCCCATTAACAAGTGTGGTTTTTGATTCTATTTGACCAAAAGTTTTTTTTTTCATTTGTTCTAAAGCTTGTTGTTTACAGCCCAATGMTATTAGATTAGGGTCATGGAGTGTGCTTCTCTTATGTAAACATTTGTTACACCATTCTGAAGTTTTGATGGAAATTAGGTTTGCAGTAGTAACTCTGCAACAATAGTTTTGAACGTGTTGATGTGAAAATTACAAAAAATGTTGAAATAACTGAAAAGGTTAAACTTAAAAAGAATCTTTTTATTTGAATGCCATCTGGTTATCTTTATGATCTCTCGTGGAGGGATCATATAGATGACGTACATGCGTACCTGAGCACCTTCGAAAACGTCTATCTTGAATTGAAGTGCGGCTTGCGGCCTTTGCGGAGCTACAAAATCTCGGAGGTGTACGACCACGCATCAGGACACCATGCAGGGCCATCACGCAGGGGGAGGGACGCTGCAATTGCGTCACTTTTGACGCAAGCCCCTTTGAGCCCGGTGAGTTGCGTCAACTACAACCTTAGCTTTAGGCCACAGCAGCAGAACCAAGAAATAACTCAGGAAACTCAGCCTTTTTTATAGGATTTATAAAAAAGGAAAGTCTTAGCCTTAAAAATAGTTAATAGAGTGTCAGCCTCTCAGACTAAAACTGGAAGTTGGTTCAACAAGAGAGGAGCTTGATAACTGAAAGCTCTGCCTCCCATTCTGCTTTTAGAAACTCGAGGAACCACAAGTAAACCTGCAGTCTGAGAGAGAAGTGCTCTGTTAGGAAAGTATGGAACAATAAGATGTTTAATATAAGATGGAGCTCGATTGTTAAGAGCTTTGTATGTTAGGAGTAATATTTTAAATTCTATTCTGAATTAAGGGAGCCAGTGGAGAGAAGCTAAAACTAGAGAAATATGATCTCTCCTTCCAACTCCCAACTCTAGCAGCAGCATTTTGGATCAATTGAAGGCTTCTTAAAGAATTTTTTGGATGCCCAGGTAATAAAGAATTACAGTAATACAACCTAAACATAATAAATGCATTGATCAGTTTTTCTGCATCATTTTTGGACAAGATGTTTCTAGTTTTAGTGATATTATGCAGGTGGAAAAAAGGGGTACTGGTAACATTTTTCAAGTGGCAAATAAAACACACTGATCAAAAATAACACCAAGGTTCTTTACATTAGAACTGGAGGCCAGATTAATGTCATCCAGAGGAGGTGAAAGGCTGCAAAGTTTATTCCTAAGATGTTCAGGTCCAAAAACCACAAACTGTCTTTTCTGAGTTTAGAAGCATAAAATTAATAAAATTAAGAGTCATCCAGTTTTTTATGACTTGTAATTTAAGTAAATGATTGGATTCGTCAGGTTTCATGAATAAATATAACTAAGCATCTTCAGCAGAACAATGAAAATGTGTCACATGCTGTTTAATACCTTTACTTAAATGGAAGCATATATAAAGTGAAGAGGATTGGTCCAAGCACTGAATCCTGGGGAACTCCATGACTAACTCTGGTGTAAGAAGAAGATTCATTATTAACACTGACAAATTGGAATCTTTTAAATAAATATGACTTAAATTATTTTAGAGCCGTCCCTGTAATGTCCAAGCCTCTATAATAGACTATTGTGATGGATTGTATCAAATGCAGTACTGCCAGTGTTGTATAAAGTACCTCAAAGTTATGAGTAAAAATACAAGTATCTTATCTTAAGATTATTTTGGTAAAAGTTAAAGTCTCGAATATTGCTTCAGCAAAAGTCTTAAAGTCCATCCGTTTTCTTCAACTTATCTGAGATTGGGTCGCGGGGGCAGCAGCCTAAGCAGAGAGACCCAGACTTCCCTCTCCCCACCCACTTGTGCCAGTTTATCCAGGGGAATCCCAAGGTTTTCCCTGGTCAGTCGAGAAACAGGCCCTCCAGTGTGTCCTGGGTCTTCCTTTGTGCCTCCTCTCAGTGGGACGTGCCCAGAACACCTCACCAGGGAGRTGTCCAGGAGGCATCCTWACCAGATGCCCGAGCCACCTCAACTGGCTCCTCTCGACGTGGAGGAGCAGCGGCTCTACTCTGAGTCCCTCCCAGATGACTGAGCTTCTCACCCTATCTCTAAGGGAGAGCCCAGCCACCCTGCGGAGGAAACTCATTTCGGACGCTTGCATTCACTATCTTGTTCTTTCGGTCACTACCCAATGCTCATGACCATAGATGAGGGTAGGAATGTGGACCGACCAGTAAATCGAGAGCTGAACCAGACCGACAGACCAGTACAGCGCCCACATCACTGCAGACGCAGCACCAATCTGCCTGTAGATCTCCCACTCCATTCTTCCCTCATTTGTAAACTTCTTCATATGGGGCAGGACCTCCTCCCCAACCTGGAGAAGGCACCCTACCCTCTTCCGTCTCAAGACCATGGTCTCAGATTTGGAGGCACTGATCCTCATCCCGGCCGCTTCACACTCGGCTGTGAACTGCTCCAGTGAAAGCTGGAGATCAGGATCTGATGAAGTCAATAGGACCACATCATTCAACAGAGTACACACTTCCAGTAAGCAATTGTTTCTCAGCAGCCGAGAGTCCAGACCCTCTGTACGAAGCAAAGAAGAACCAGGGGCTGGTTTTTAGCAGCATTAGATTTTTTAATGAATGGCAGTAAAGACGGTCAACAAGGAACAGAGAAAATGGGACAACAGTTCCAACAGTGAGACCTGAACGTCCATCAAAAACATATGAAAATATGAGACAGAAATGAATCAGAGAAACTGTTAAGAGGCCACATTATGTAGCTACAAAAATATATAAATACTGCATTTATGTTGTAAATATACTACTGCTGCAGGAAACTGACAAGTACTGACTGGATTCTACATTTGTCATATATCTCCTGGCTGTGTGGTCTGCATATCTGGACTCTGGGGTACAGAAACCTTTTCTTACAAAGAAAAACATTCAGGTTCGGCTAAAGAATTGATCAAGTCTCCGAAAAGCACATAGCAAAATATTTAATTTTCAGCTAAACCACAATTCCATGACTTAATTGATTCAATTGCACACCCTCTTGGGTCATGAATCTGTCATGACTGTTTTCTTTGCAATTTTTTTCTGCACAGTATCTTGTTTATATTTTTATCTTATTTCATTTTTATAGCCTAGTAC